GCGTAGCGCGTCTCGTAATACCCGATCGTATAGGCATGTCCTTTGCGTCTTTGTTACGCCCTTGAGTTTGAACAAAATAACTACCAAGGTAACTAATGCCGAACTAGAAAAAGTGCACAAATTCAACTTCTCTGCCGTCTGACATTCCTCGGACTTACTTGACCCTATGCGTCCACTTTGCATCTTCCAGGGCTCAGACTGTGCTGATGGTGAGCCCTGTGCCGAAAGTTTCTGATATCATATGTAGCTATCTGCATCTGCTTTTACGTCACGAAAACTAATGCTGTCGTTCCAGTTCGCCCACCACTGTCCCTACGTGGCCTCCGCCTTATGATGTACACGAGCTTGTTCCTCAGCTAATTCGATTCCATGAGAGGACTTCGTTGCAAAAGCTTTAACTGACGCCACGCTGGAGACTGGTTTTGCCCTCCGACTTTTTGCAATGTCAGAAACATTGTTCAGTCCATGTGCCGCATTAGCCGATCAGATCTTTTGCATTTTCTTCAATTCCATTTTCTTGACTTTTCTTCGAATGTCGACAGAACAGAAGTGGTCTCAAACAAAGGAATGCCATTTATACGGCCTAGGATCAGATTTCTGCTTTCTGGTAACTTTTTGAACAATCGAGCGTTTCTTGACTGATTGAGCCGACCGCTCATAAAATCTTCTTAGGTCCAGACTATGATGAAGCTCTCGGTACCTCCGAAGCCTTCAGGCGAGACCTCACAGTCCTGGGTATGTAAGCAAAACAGCCAGAAATCCTGGCTTCTGATCTGGTTGTATGGAGTGTGATTGAAGAATCACACCAGCAGCAAAGACCAGTCAGCGAAACTTACGTTCCTTCAACGACCTCTGCCCTGTTGCTTTATTCAAGTGGTTCGATCGAAATCGATACCCACCCAAAATCGACAAAACCCCTCATCTCTCTGATCGGTTAATTTATCTCTCACTCGTCTTGGAAGGCAAAAGCACTGGCTGTACATCGGCTCGGTACCGTACGTCAATGTATAGGCTACGTGCACATTCAACCGCCACCGCGAATTTGAGTGAAGTCGTAGATTGAGGCGTATCCCGAAAAAAGTATCCCCAGAATTGATGTTACTTAGCTAAAACTGCCAAAACGGCCTCTGTATCTGCTGTATTGACATTTTTTTTATCCGAAGCTATTAGATTCTGAATTCAGAAGACGACGATCTTCTTGCCAGGTATCCTTGAATGGCTATCCTTGGGATTTTCGGATTTCCTTGGAAATGTATATGAAAGCTTTGTTCCATGAAAAACCTCGTTAATTTGTAATTCAAACGTTGATCATAACTGAGCTAACAAAAACAGATGGACAAAGGGTATGCGCCATGCAATTGCATTCAACAATTTTTTCTAGAAGGAGACAGGCATTCTGCTTCCATAACGAGTAGCCGATGTCTTCGTTTTTGGACTTGATGTGATTAGCGTTCACATTTGGTCAAATAAAACCGGCACCCATTTAACAATCTCAGATGTTTGTTGAGCTATATTGGGTCTAGGGTGGGATTCCTGCCATCTTACCATCAGAACTGGACCACGCACCCATGGAAGTGGCACCATTTGCCACTGCCACGCTTCCCTCTTCCCCTTGAATTACCGTATTGTCCTTCTAAGACTGNTCATTCACGCCAAATAAACTCGGTACCTATTAGGGGCTTTACGAGCCCTCGACTTTGCAATACCAGTTTTGACGCCAAAAACAGGGTACTATTTAGGCTTTGGAAACTGGTTGTCCTATTTTCACTAGGTCAAAGTTAAATCCACTTACCTCACATGTAGATGTCAGTGCTTTTTGAAGTATGACCTTTGAGAGGTAGCAATGATCGAACTCATAATCGAGGCATGACACAATCAACTTCACATAGGCCGCATTTGTGGATGGGACCATAAAATCGACGAATCTGTAATGTAAACGGCTACTGTTCCCGTTTGGGCGTCGACACAAAACCGGAAAAAAGCAATCGAGGGGGATTTCCCAGCGCTACCACGTTCGACGGACCGATGCTGCTCATCACTTTCACTAGACCACGCTGACTTCACTAGACATCCGCAGAGCGTTTTTTCCCGAAACTTTCTCGAATATCTTCTCTGCGGGGATCTCCTTTAGAAGGGCATAGCGGAAGCCCTTTTAGGATGTGTCGTTTTCTATTCGTTATTCGTGCAATGAATTTTAATCGAATGTAATGAATTCCGGTTTCTCTTTGCGGAAAGATAGAAAGTCACAAAACATCGGGCATCGTTCCAACGAGTATGTGTCGTTGAATGACCACCACCGACTGACCGACCGTCTACGGGACGGGATCACGTCGGCAAGCTCTTTCTCGTTGTGCCCGATTCGACAGGATCGTAGAATGATTAGGCGTTTTCTCCCAACACACACACCACTGACCCATTTTATCGCTATGTACCCCCAACCCTGGCCACAGTTCATATATGCAACTATCATTTGCACGGTCCGTGGTTCTTTTTTCATCCAAACTAGCCTCCATGGGAAGCTGGCTGCACAAGCACGTTGCCAATCGGGATTGTCCCCAAAATCTCAAGAGGGAGCCTTCTATCACTTTCATTGTGCTCGTGAATCCTCTGATTTATTCATCATTTGCTTTTGCTCGTTCACTGAGGTCATTTCACACTTTTTCCCTTACTATCTCCTACAGTCCTATTTCCGAACTTCTCACTTTTCCCCGCGCGAAAGAGCTAGCCATTTGTCGGCCATCTAGTTTAAGAACAACAAAAAATGTAGTAACGACGACTTCATCTGAGCATTCAGATCAACTAAGGATCATTTCATGGCTTAAGCACATTTACAGCATCGTGCAGTGGGGACTAAGTGGTCAGCACTGATCAAGTTGTCAAGCCAGCACCGTTGAGGACACTCCCATCATGAGACTTTATTATCATTTAGCTTAATGTGCGATGACTTGAAACAGCAAGCCGGTGCTCAAATCATTATCTACTCTGCCTGAATGGTCTGCTAGCTACTTCGAAAGATCAGCAAAGGGATTGTAGGGGGCAAGAACCCAAGTTCGGGGAAGAGGAAAATGGTTATTATTGTGGAGGAACCGTTCAAGAAGCGAGAAAAGACAAAGCACTTTTGGTCGTTAACTTGCTGCCTACACGAAAACGTTACCGGTAGGCTACAATGTTCTCATAAAATTACTGTAATGATTCGATGTGAAAAACCGAACTCTGCTGCACCCCTTTCTTCCTCACAAAGGTCTGAGCAGAACACACATGCTTCAGACATTCTTCAGACCTCACTATTCTTTTAGGCCAATCAAGGCTTTCTTCTTTCTTCGGTGTACGGTCAAATGGTCGAAGACGTGTCTGGGAGGACAAAAGATTTGAAATTTACATACATGGGTAGGATTCCATGGATCATCTAAGCCTTTGTAAGAATTCACTACTACTCTGTATAGAAGTTGACGAGGGGCACACTTGTACGCCTTGACTCAGTAGGTGCATGTCTGAGGCTAGGCATACATCAAAAGGGTAGGAGCTTCGCAGGAGAAGTCTGCTCAGATCAAATTAGCATCCCATCGGTTAACGATAATTTGCCTCTACACTGGTGGATTGAATGTAATAAATCACGCTTTGTTATTCATTTTCGTCACTAATTATTTAGATCTACTGCACTATCAAATGCTTTTGTGAGCCTATTAGGAACTGATATGCATGGCGCACACCGGAAAACTTTTAAGTATGAGTGAATGTAGCAGATTTTCCACTTGAAGCTCATTAACTTAGCTTAAGCTTAACATACAGACCAACCCTTTACCCACTTTCGCTATCTACTAGTTACGGCGAAATGAGAGCAGAATGTATCCGCTGGGGAAAGTTTTTAGATCTCATTCCAGCGGATAGCTACTATAGGGTCATTTGGGCTGGATACCGTANTTGAAGCTCATTATAACATACAGACCAACCCTTTACCCGTCGTTGCCACTTTCGCTATATATTAGTTACAACAAAATGAGAGCAGGATGTATCTGCTGGGGAAAGTTATTAGATCTCATTCCAGCGGATAGCTACTATAGGGACATTTGGGCTGGATACCGTAAAAGTGAAAAAGCCTTGTTAGAAGTGTAATTCTATAAAACAACTGGGTTCTAGTGTCCATCTAATAAATCAGGTAAGCTTATATTGGATTCTTATGAGCTTTCCGTTGGAACCAGCCAATCGCGTTCACTGGCTAACATCGGAACCTGCCTTACAAAGCCTGCCCTTTTACATTGAATGCCCATTTCTCATGCGGTTCCTCCACCATCTACTTCTAGCTTTCAAACGAAGTTTGTAATTCCAAGTGTTCGTTTCTCTAATACAATGTAACTTTTCTCACGCCCGTATTTTTCATGCCATTTCAACACAAAAGAGATGCCAAAAATGAACCCAAGTCTACTAATTCCCACTTCAGGCAATTTATGTAGACCACTGACCGGCTGACTCCACAAAATCGTTACCAGTAAACAAAATGTACCTGGACTCAACCCTACTATCATCAGAAAACATTCAATTCCTCTGTCCTAACACATATAATTGATAATTCTACTCTTTTCTGTCCTATCCTACGCCAAGTATTACGTATAAGTAATTGTAAAACTACAAATATCCCTTGATTTTTTCTTTTAACCTTTCCGCATCCTGAGCTTCCGTACTCTGTAACATTCGAGAGTTTCTTTGGCAAAAACCCGACGCGATTGCTCGCGATGTTGGCCTCTTAACGCCGAGACCAGTCAAAGTGAATCCTTCACAATAGGCATTCTAAATGACTCAAAACGTCCATTGTACCACAATGAAACTGCGAACGATTTTGGGACATTTTCCAGGACATTAGGAATTCTATCAGAAGATCTCGATCAAGCAATACAATAAATTTTTCAGCAAACGGCCTAAAATCCCGAAAAAAGGGGACAGAAAACAACACAGAAAAACAAACACAAGTTTTTTGACCTCCGCGTAGAGTCCGCATGTCACGTCACCGCGATAATTCCACTGCTATATAATGAGAAGTTCTTTATGTGCCTGTTTAATAATACGAACTTATCAATGTTAAGCCAGACTGTAGCGACCATCTTCAGGTCTTCAGGGGGCAATCTTTGCCAGGAAGGAGGAAAAGAAAAGCTTCTGGTTAGAACTTATTCTCGAAGCAAATCACTACGTGCCAAATTTTTAGATGCAACTTCATGGCTTAAACACTCAATTCACGAGGAATAACAAATTCATTCTTTCATTCGGGACTAACTATCCCTTCTATTCCGAGAAAAAGTACTTTTGTTCGAGAGTCAGCAAATATGGTGCGCGGGTTCTGCCACTTATCCAGTACAATCCATACAACAATTCGATTCCCTCTGGCAATCAGGAAACAAATCACCATCCTCAAATTAGGCCCTATGCAGAGCTTAGTCAAGCCTTTCCAGTTGGAGGAAGGAGGTAGTCAAAGGTACAATTCACAACAAAAGTGGTTTCTGAGATTTCCCCATAGGATGACAAGGCCCCTATGTACCATAACTGCCGCTATTAGGTCGGAAAATATCCTAGTTGGGGCGTCATGAAGGCTCAAAGATTGTGTCGTGTGTATCCTCGTACGAGTTTCACCGGCACTGAAGAGGCTGCATCATTCACAAGAGGATCTATGTAGAAGACTCAAGCAACTTATGACCCACAACGTCAGTGAGAAGCAGTTCTGTGCAGTTCTGGCTTGATGTAGACCGCTCTTTGCGCAATTGCAACGACTGAAATCTCGTCCAAATACCCCTTCCATGTTATTTCCGCCACGGTAATCTCGTCCAGCCTTTATTTTCCCTACTTTTGAGGAACCCTGTTTTCTTCGAAATTGGCGAATTTCCTCGCTTTCTTCCAATCTCTACTTCCGCTTCTTGGAAAAAAAGGGAAAAGGGTACATCAAAATTATCGCGAACAGTGCGATTAAATGGTGTAGCTTTACCACCATGGTCGGTGAGAATCGCAAGTCAACGCTTAACCAAGTATGTCTTCCAGTGCCGCTACAACTTTGTATGGATGTCAAACGCACCCTGTTACTTTTCACCAAAATTTTTTGCATACAACACCGATCTAAAGTGCAGATGATGTTAGCGCATGAAAAGTTCCGGATGTTGACTTCATAGCATGCCTTTTTTACTCGATTTGCATGCAAAGACTGTTCTCTGACCATTAGGCCTAGGCAATGAACGGACGGTTGGAATGACAATAAATCATTTACATCAATTCATCATTTTCTTTTCGTCGAGATCCTGTTCCTGCAAACCCAGGCTTGTCTTTCACAAAATCTTTTTCGCGATAAACTATTCTAAAGCTCTAACATCTGCGAGCAGACTTTCATAGGGTGGTATCCAAAAAACAGGAATGCACCATCAAATACATAGTATGAAGAAGATTCACTGTGACTCAGTTTTCGTGTGAATGAGAAATACTGCCCAGGAAGCAACTAAGCTAGAAGGGAGGCTATCGAACGGCCAAGATTTTTATCAACTTGGTGACATTTATGGGAAGTCATCCTTCAACCACGAAAAAGCTTTTGGTAAGTTATTCTCGAAAAACAGATGCTAACCAGAATCCATAGCGAAAGGCGAATGATTTCAAGGAGTTAGCATTATATTGAATTCAAAGGAACGCGCCATGCATCTCATTTTCAAAGCCACAACCCAATTCAAGATGTTTGGGCCCGTACAGCTTTAGAAATTTTGGATGATAGAACCATCATACCCTTCAATCCTGTTTCCATTCCCTATGCAATTATAGTGCTCCACACCAATCCCTATGAGAAATGAAGAAGGTCTAATGAGAGTGGACGGAACACGGCAAACAAAACTCTAAAAAAAGACGTCCCAATTAAATTACCACCCAATTCGTAGCGCGTCAAGCCTCAGCAGCGAATTTAAGCGCCTTTGATTGAATAGTTTCTATTTTCTCTTTCATATTCGCTTTCAGATTCAGTCATCTTCGACCGGGCGTTTGCTTAGGCGGATTTTGGCGGAACTTCACAAGAAAGTAACTATTAAATCAGCTAGTTTGCAATTTTGGCAAAGAAAGGGAAACAATTCTCCGAAGAACACAGATAACCGGAATGGGAATGAAAAACTGAACCAGTTCTCATAACTACAACTGGCTTGGCCATTATCAACGTCATACTGCTCAAAATTACAGCGGTCAGCGGGGTACTGTTCATTCCTAGGTGTTCTACAGGAACGGTCTGTTCTTGTACAGATATAATTAGAGTGCGATATGAAACATAACTCACCCATTACCCCGATGAACTGAGAAACTAATGGGAAATGTATTCATTGGAAAAAGTTATTGGTGGCTGATTGCTTCGCAAATGATAGATAGCTGATTGACCACCACGTTCGTTTCCTACTATACCTGTTTCTTTTTTCTTCTTGTTTCCACTCCATCTTTCTTGATGATTCATTAATTTACTCATTAATTCAACCGCTCCTTCCTTTCGCCCTTGCTTTATGTTTTCCCTTTTTTCCCTCCTTCTTTCCTTCCTTCTTTCATTTATTCATTCCTATTTCTTCCTTTCATTCACTCATTCATTCATTCATTCNTTCTTTCTTTCTTTCTTTCTTTCTTTCTTTCTTTTCTTTTCTTTTCTTTTTTCTTTATTCCTTTTTTTGTTTCTTTTTCCTTTCTCTTCCCCCTTCTCTTTCTCTATCACTTCTTTCTCCTTCTAAATATAGCTACGCTATTACCATGAATATACCCACTGCACCGGACGCCCTACCAACTAAAAACCCCTACTCCTCAGGGTAATTGTATGAACTAGGATAATGAAACATTAACTCAGCCATCAACTGCCCCTAGACACCGTCTATGGGCAATAAAATCGCATCAGGTGCCTCTCCGATCCTGTGGAGATTACTCGAGGGAGAGACTATACCTCCCTGAGTGAATCTATCAACGGTTACTTCCCAAGGGATAATCTATAATAAAAGCTTTTTTGGATGATATGGACCAGAAACATCAGCATCAGCATGGAACCGTGGTCACTCCAAAACCGAAATTCATTGAGCCCGATAGTCCTCGAAGATAACATTCTTCTAAATCTCTTAAAAAAATTAAAATATTTTCACTTTTTTCTCATTAACATGAAGCATTCCATTGAAGCGAGATTATCGGATAGCGGTAAATCGCGATCGCATGGAAAGAAATTTCGATGCCGGAAGCGGATAGCAATCGAGAGAAATCACAAGTGCCGGTCGCTTGACCATATTGGATCTTGAAAGTGTCGACGAGAACGAGATTGAGATGTCGCAGGGCTGAACAGGTCTCGCGTCTCCTTCAGACGTTCAACGTCGACGATCAACGCACTACTCTCAAGCAATCACGAAACAAGTCGTCCTTCAGCTTACGACGAATGCCCCCCACCCTCAACTATCCGCCCGAATTCTCACCATCCTTGTCCACTTTATTCATTTCGCATCGTCGCTTTTCAAGCTACGATTTATACGGCTATGCTTCGTACGCATAATTGCTGAGCGTCTTCTCCAAAAGCCATAGAATAACCGTATAACCGCCCACTGAATGCAGAACCATTGAATTGGTTCAGGCAGCAGAGGATGTTCCTTAGCCACTCTTCCAAAGTTTTCTATTTTGTCGTCTCTTCAAAGTAAAGCATTTCCCCTTGGCCTCTCACACACCCTCAGATGGAAATATTCCTTCGATTCCTATCAATACTTTTCAAAAAAAAAAATTTTTTTGAAGGACCATGTACCATGCGGTACATAAACTCCCACGGAATTCTGGCAATACGGTGGAATCTGTTCAGGGGCCCGTAAGCCAACCTTTTTACCGTGGTAACTCGTTCTCCAAGACCACCTCTTTGATTAGGCTAGTGAATCTTCCATGGGATAACAGTCTCCACGAACGCTTAGAATGTGGCTTTCAGAAAGCAATATGTAAGTTACATGGGAGTGGGGAAGCATTTTTGAAACAGAATGGAAGTGGATTACCAAGATGAAGGAGCCTCTTGATGTATGCCGACGTTTATGTGAACTCATCATAGTCATTACCGTACCCATCAAGTTCTATCGAATTGTTATTTATAAAAGCTATATGTCAGCGTCACGCTTGTTGATTTATTGGCACTATTAAAGCTTCACAGCATTGATTTATTGTTTTNTGCTTCACCAGTAGATGCTGACCAATAAAATCAGGACCTCAAAATGTATTCGAGTTTTTTTCAAAACCGTAGACGCACTTCAGTTTGTAGATCACCTGCGCAGAAGCCCCTGGAAATCAGCCTAGGTTCTTTAGACGTCAGGAATTGGGCGTTTTTCACTGACACGGGTCCATTCGAAGAGATCAATTTCCGCGATCTCGGGAAGGATTGCTCGCTTTAAACAAGATTCATTTACAGATCATTTGAGCCGTGCATTCCAAGGTTGCTATTCCAATGAGATCCCGTTGGTTGGTCACCACACCCACTGCGAACAAACGAATTAATGTCAAAAAAGAAGTTTCTTCTCGAACCTCCGAGTCCGTCGGGTTTGCTTGACGGCTCAAACCACGACATTAAACTTAACCATGAGGGGCTACATTCTCATGAGTGCCATTTTGGGTCTACCAGACAAAGCATAGAGGGGCATCTGGGAAAGAAATGTAACCAGTCCCACCTAGCTGACACCCTCTTACGTCTTCGAATTACCTTATTCAGGATCTCGCAACTCTCTCCAGGAATTCTGAATTCATCCACGTCCAGTTTTAAGCCACAACAATCCGTGCAATTTTCTTCTTTGACCTTGTGAGCCTTCAAAAAAATCTTTCAGGGTATGAAGACGTTATGGGTATTGGTTGCATTGGCAGGAGTTTCGTTAGCCGATTTGCCATCATGTGAACGAGCACGATGTAGCCACTGTGAGGTGAAATTCATAGCAAAAGTATGTAAAAAGACTTGCGACGCCTGTCCGCAGACGATTACGGAAGTGAACTTGGTGAGAGTTACTTGGTGATTCCATTTCGTAGTCTAGCCTTCCGAATAAGTACCTTTCCAGGAAAGTCGGCTGAAGAGCTTCTACGAGGAGAAGGATCGATTATCACAAGCAAATAAGGAATATTATAAAGG